TTATTATTATTATTATTATTATTATTATTATTATTATTATTATTATTAATACTAAAATACGACATTAAATTTAGCTGTCAATTTTCTATAGGGTCAAATTTTTTCTTTTAATTTTTTTCAATAATAAAAATCTAAAAATTTTCAGATGACTAATTTTATTTTCATTTGTTATTTTATTATTATTGTTATCATTTTTATCAGAGCTATTGTTATGATTGAAATAACATAAAGTATTGTTGAAATAATGAAAAAAGCAAGCATTTATTTGTTTTTGATATTTTAATGATTTCTAAAGATTTAAATTAGCAAACTGACAATTTTTTGAATTTTTAAAGCCCATAAATTTTTATAAAAAAAAAAAAAATATTTTATAAAATCCGCACTTTTAATTTTTATAAATTTCTTCTTGTAGAATTTTTTTGTTAAATATTTTTTATTATAATTTAATAGTTATAAAAATTTTTTAAATTGTTAGATGTCTGTTAAATTCAGTCTCGTATGTTTGTTATAATATCTCATAATTTCAAATAATTTTTTCTCTTAACATTTAAATAAATAATAAGTAATAAGACTAACCATTATAATGCAAGGTGACATTATAGACAGTTGGTTAATAATTTATTACTCTTAAATGTACAAACGGTGTTTTATTAAAAGCTCGGTTTGAATTTAACAAATAACAGGTGTTAAATTAAAAACTTTTGAAACATTAATATTTTAAATTCTATTTTCATTTTAATATTTCCGCTGATAGCTGACAGTTTTACAATTTCGCTTAATATAAAAAAAATTAGCGAATTGAAGTTTAATAATTCTATCAAAAAGAGCGGATATTTAATTATGTGTGATCAAAAACGAGATACGGAATAACTTTTTTGAAATAAGTCCACTCTGCTGAAAACTGACGAATTTTATTGGCCTGAATTAGCTTCTGATACATTAATAATATTTATAAATTCAATGCATAAATAATCAGCCTATATAAAAATGGCCTACTTTTGAACGGAATACATTCATCATGATCTTAATGACATGCTTTTCACATTTCAGTTTAAATATAAAATAATGCATTATTTATGAAATCAAAGTTCATATTATGTTGATTGGAGCCTCACCTTTAACGTTCAATAAAAATACATTTTTTTTTATTTAAATAATTAAAATTATAGATTCAATATTTTATAAATTACTTATTCCATTAGAGATAATTTTATCCAGAGATATTTTCATCAACTTTAACCAGATAAATTATTTTTAAAAATCTATTTTCTGAAGCCTCAAGAACATTGGCGAGCAAAAATGGGTTAAGTTTCACTTAAGCGCTGTTATAAATTTAATATAAAAATCTTACATGTATAAATATGGATTCATAACTTTAAAAGATGATTTTATTTTATAAAATAGATTCCGCCGTGCCCACCAAGGCCAGATTTCGATGCGTCGCGTGAAAAATTACAAAAACTCGGTGAAGGAGAAGGAAATATGACCCGAGAAGAATTTACTAAAATGAAGCAAGAATTGGAAGCGTATGTACTTAACTACCCAAAAAAAAATTTTTAATAATTAATTAATTATTATAATTTTAATTACAGCGAATACTTGGCGACATTCAAAAAAACAGTCGCGATGCACGAAATGTTTCTGACCCGGTTGGCTCACCACCCAGTATTCCGAAATGACCATAACTTAAGAGTCTTCCTGGAGTACGATCAAGACTTGTGTGTCCGCGGTAAAAATAAGATCGAGATATTCGGAGGGTTGGTTAAATCACTGTCAAAAACCACCGATGAATATTATTTGTCAGCTACTGTGAAGGATGTAAACGATTTCTTCGATCAGGAGCTTACATTTTTACACCAGTATCATAATAATTTAAAAGAAGCTACCACTCGCGCTGATCGCCAAACAACGAAGCACAAAGACGTCGCCGATTCTTACATTAAAATTTCTACAAATTTACTGCAGTTGGCTACCACAGACTCGGGGAAGTTGGAGAGGTTTTTGACCAAGATCGCAGAGACTTTTGAAAAAATTCGCGTTAGTTTTTTAATAATTATCTACATTATTAAGAGAATACCTTGTGAACTATTGACAATTTTAAAGATATAAGCTCATCCCGATGTTACACTCATCAAGACCTTTCATTTGAGTACCCACATCAATTTTTCATATATTTATATAAATCGTATATATGTATATATGAAAAATATATAAAAAATGCATGTGGGTACTCAAATGAAAGCTCTTGATGAATGTAACATCGGGATGAGCTTATATCTTTAAAAACGCCAATA